ATTTGGATATAGCTACAGTTCTTACTTTTTCTCATGGCGACTAATGTAACTTTTCAAGGGGCAAAAATGAAGCAAAGAGTAGTCGAGAATTGTGCCAAGGCACACATGGCAAGGTTGTTGTCACAAAGCTGAGCTGCTGGAATTCAGACTGCTTGAGAGCTTAACTGCTGTGCTCTGCTCCCACCTAGGAGGACTCCCACCACAATGCAAAGACTCGAAGTGTTGCCTAAATAAGGTTTTCCCCAGGCCAGATATCAGTATGCTTGGAGAAATAGTTTAAATTTCTCAGCCTTAGACTTTCCTCTGAATGTTAGCACTATGGAAACTGTGGTACCTAACCCCTTGAGGGCCCAGGATTCTTGTAATGGTGAATGATTTACAAACCAAGTTTAAAATAGCAAGGATCAACTGCTTTTGCAAAATTTCACTTAATTCTTAAGAAAACAGTACATTATATTAGCTTAGATAGGGGGCCAGCAAACTATGGCCTGCTATATTTTTTTGTATAACCTGCAGGCTAAGAATCGTTTTTACATTTTTAATAGGTTGAAAAAAATTTTTAAAGGCTGTTATTTCATGATGTGAAAATTATATGTTAAAAGAAAAACTTCAGACAAATTAAATTTCACAGAGTTTAATTGAGCAAAGAACAATTCGTGAATTGGGCAGCCCCCAGAACCAGACTAGGTTCAGAGTCACTCCAGGGTTGCCCCGTGGTCAGATAAAATATTTATGGCAGAAGAAGGAAAATGAGGTACAGAAACAACTGGGTTGGTTACAGTTGGGTGTTTGCTTTATTTGAACCTGATTTGAACACTTGGTTGCCTGTTGTTGACTGAAGTTTGGCTGCTATGATTGGCTGAGAGTTGCTACCTGTTACAAGAGTAGGTTACTGTCTGTTTACACATCAAGTTGGGTTACAGTTCATTATGTATGGAAAAACCTTTAGGCTGAACTTAAAATACGTAAGGAGGCAGCTTTAGGCCTAACTTAATTTAACACTTCCCCCTTTTGGTCAACCTCTTAATTTTTGAGAGGTTGACCAAAACTTCAGGCATTGACATCACTCTGTCACCATTGTCAATGGACTTATTTGGTCTCTAATCTCATTAGATTTGTAATGAACAGTGGGATTTGTAAGGTGGGAACAAGGAAACAGAACAATAGAAAAAAATCGATAAGTTACCATCAGGTAACTTTTTCGTAAGGATGAGAGCAGAGAGGACTTTCTTGTTATACTGGAATCTCCTGTTTTCAAGAGAAGATAAAAAAAACAACAACAAAAAAAAAACAAAAAAAACTGGTCTGTTTTGGGATCTACTCTGTTTCCTTAAAGTTTTAGTTTGATTATGTGGCATTTAGCATGAGTGACTGCATTTTGATTTGGTCTGTTGGGGCCTAGTGCAGGAGCACAGTCCAAAACAACGGCCTCCTAGAGTTTGTCTAACATGTGCATTCAAATCTCAAACTTTGTAGAAATTTTTTTTCTCTCTTTTTGTATAAGTACCTATACAATGTCTTCAAATTTGCCTTTTGGCTTTGCAAAGCCTAAAATATTTACTATCTGGTTTCACAGAAAAAGTTTGCTGATCTCTGGTTTAGAAGAGCATGGAAGTTAGTGTCAGGCAGTTCTGTATTGAGCTCCAGGGCTGCCATTTACTGACTGTATGACCTTGAGCAAGATATTTATCTTTTCTAAGCCTCAGTTTCCTCATCTATAAAATGGGCATACAAATAATATTTATCTTGAAACGTTAAATGAGATAATACATTTCACGTACTTAACGCAATGCCTATCAGATGGTAAGGACTCAACATATTACTGTTATTGTTGTTGTTTTGCCATAAAATGAATGAGATTAAATAAATTGCTAAGCTAAATGAGGATGAAATTTTAAGTTACATTAGAAACTATAATAGATTCTACCATATTATACTTAGGAAACTTTTTACTTATTTAAAAAGGCATTTTGAATTTAATGATAATGACAACAGCTCATTCAGAATAGATAAAATGGGTAAATCCTATGCTATGGTAGAAGTTTTAAAAAAGTCATACCCAGCTATTCTGGGAGAGCTGAGATTACAGATCCTGTATCTGAGTAAATCAAAACCCTGTCCTCAGATTACGCTTGCTAAATTCTTTCCAGTTACTAGAGTCAGAAAAGAAAATGCCAGAACTCCATAGAATCCATGGATAAGGTATTTTGCTGAAGAGGAATATGGGAACAGACTAAAGGAAAAATTTTATCAAGCTGTAATCTTTATACTCATGCCTAAGGTCAGGACCTGAAACTGCTGAAGACAGTGCACACTGGCACCCCCACATTTTGATGCCTGCATCAGCCTTTAAACAATAGCATCTTTGTTAGATAAAGTTCATATATGATACAATTCACTAATGTAAAGTGTACAATTCAATGGCTTTTAGTATATTCACAGAGTTGTGCTATTATCTCCATAACCAATTTTAGAATATTTTCATCACCCCAAAAGAAACATTGTACCCGTTAGCAGTCTTTCCCTAACCTATAGCTCCTGGCAACTACTAATTTACTTTATATCTCTATAGATTTGCCAATTCTGGATATTTTATATAAGTTAAATCGTATAATATGTGGTCTTTTGTGAATGGCTTTTTTCACTTAGCATAATGTTTTTGAGATTGATTCATTTTGTAGCAGGCATCGGTACTTCATTCCTGTTTATTGCCAAATAATTCCCCATTGTATGGCTATATTACACCTTGTTTATCTATGCCTCACATTTTATTTGTTCGTCAGTTGATGGACATTTAGGTACATTCGACTTTTGACCAATGTTAAAACTCCTTTTGCTCTGACTGAGGCTCCATACTGTTACAGTGATGCTTGTTGGCTACCTTGACTGAGCTGGCCTCATAGGGCACAGGTTGCTCTTTGTGAGAGATGAGAGATTTTAGCATAACTTCCAGCCAGAGCCATGTAAAGTAATGTGCAAGAATTTACTTGAAAGATATGTGAAAGAAGGTGGTCCGGGCTGTAATAGCTTCTGTTCAGGCAGTCATGTAGTGCTGAAGGGTCACCCAGTGAATAGTGAGATGCCTGTGGGTACAATATTACTTCCTTTATGTTGCCAAAAAAAACCCAGTATTACCCAGTATTTCTGAAACCAAAAAGCTGTGAACCATTGTGTTAAGGGCTTAATGCTATCTGCTTTGGGCTGTCCATCACAGCTTCTCTCCTCTGGTAGTATAAAGTGAACCACCAGGCTTCAGGTATTTATTTGCCTTATTTCTTCCTTAGCTAGTTCATTGACGACATTGTCAGAGCTGTCAAAGCATTCAACTCCTGATTTCTCAGGCTGAGCATATGTGTGAGTATAATGATAAGTTCATTTGTACTCTGAAACCCTCTCTCTTAAATATGTTCTGCAATAGTGTGATGGTCACAACAAAGAATAGTTTCAAGATATATATGCACATCAATAGAAGTGGTGAAATACACACAGTATATTTTATAGGGAATTTCCGGGAAGGAAGAAAGAAATCAACCATTTATTTGACATTAGGATAGTAGTAAAAACTATGGCTTTTATATCAGACAGATTTTATGACTTAACTTGGCCAAAAATTTAACCTCTCTGTGCCTCATGTTTAAAAAGGAGATAATAGCACTTCACAGGGTTGTTCTAAGAATTAAATATGGCCCAAACACATGAAGAGATGCTCAACCTTGTGAGTAATCAAGGAAATGCAAATAAAGACCACAATGAAGTATTAATTTGTACTCAAGTGATTAGCAAAAATTAAAAAATGTCTGATAATATTAACATATACATCAATGAGATCTCTTATACATTGTTGGGAAAATGTATGAATTTGTACAAACATTTTGAAAAATAATTGTGCATTTTCTTGTAAAGTATAACATAAGACCCAGCAATTCTGCTCTTACATAGATACTCAAGGAAAGTTGAGCGCACATACACCAGGAAAAATGTTCATAGCAGCCTTGTTCATAAGAGCAAAACCTGAAAACCACTGCCAGGAAATGGATAAATAAATTGCTGTAGAGCCACACAATAGACTGCAATACAGCAGGGGAGCTGAAAAATACAGAAAGCCCCAGGAGATTGTATATTGTATGGTACCCTTTTGATGAAGTTCAAAAACAAGCAAAATAAACAACACATTGTGTAGGTACATTATAGCATATGTGATAAAACTAAAAAGAGAAGATGGAATGATTAGCAATCCAGAACCAATTCATGATTGTAGTTATTATGCTGTGAGACAGGCTGTGGGTTGGAATAAGGGAGGAGCTCATACGTAGGTGTAACTTATTAGTAATCTTGTGTTAGGGATGAGCTCAAATGAGTTCGCTATACATTTATATAAATAGGAAGGAGGGCTATCCATGGATTATGGATGAGAGGGTGTCATGAAACAACGAATATGATTAATGAACTCAGGTTACCTGAGGTCCAAATAAACAATGAGAAAGAAAAGTAAAAAAAGTAACCATGAACATTGTAAAAATTTGGATATGCATATATAATACGTAATTATAAAAAAAAATTTCACCAGTTATCTTTCAGATAGGAAAATTACAATGAACATTGTAATGTAATAACCTTCCATTCTTTTCCCTATGAATTAAAAATAGTTTCTTAATGAGACTAAAAAATGTCAAGTTGACAAAGTTTATGCCCTGTGGGGACTGGTTAGGTCAGGCTACCTACTGCAGGTTCCAATCAGCCAGGTCTCAGCCCTGCCCACAGCCAGTAGCTATTGAGGCGGCAAGCCCCAGACATGACAGGCACCTTCAGGGTGGGGCTGGAGAACACGCCCCAGAGGCGTGTCCAGCTCCCCTGGGGGCGTGGCCAAGGGGCGAGGCGGTCCTCAGCCGGAGTCCAGGTAACGGGGCTGGATTGGGAGGAGCTACCGTCGCGGTATGATGACGTCAAGCCCTGGCCAGGCGTGGCGTGCTATGCGTGCGCCGCTGTGGTTTGGTTCTTGCGTCCCAGCTCTTGACTTGGGACAGAGTCGTGCTGTAGGTCGGGATGTTACAGGCTGTTGGAGCTGTGGATGAGGAAGAGGAGCATGCGGAGGAGGACTGTCCTGAATTGGTTCCCATTGAGACGAAGCAAAGAGAGGAGGAGGAAAAGTCTGGGTTCGGCGCCAAGATCCCAGTCACAATTATCACCGGGTATTTAGGTAACTAACCATCCCGGTCAGAAAATGCCGTGAACTCTGGTGTCCTGGGATTTTTGGGGGCTGCCAGTGCCTTTTCTCCTTAGGCACCGGGGCCTCCTGGCCGAGAGCAAATGTCTTTGAGGTAGGGGCTTGGGTCAGTTGCTCCTTGTATGGCTTGCTTCTCATCTCGGGGGTTTAATGATGCCCAGACCCTTATGCTTTAGATTCACATTTCTCAAGTGATTGAAAGCCTTTGAAACGAGGCTTTGAAGCCCAGGCTCGTCCCCTAGTTGTCCAGGTGTTCTCTAACAAGTTATCTCACCTTTCTGAAGCGCATGTTCCTCACCTGAAAATGGAAAAATACCGTTCACCTGTCTGAGCTTTTTTTCTCATCTGCGAAATGGGGCAGGAAACACTTACCTTATTAAATCTATTGCCATTGAAGGATGTCCTGTCAGTAAAATACCCCGCACGTGGGCCATTCCTTGGTAGAGTCCCCTTCCCCACAAGTCAGACACTTCCAGCTATTAGTGGGAAGTATTCCCCGCCCTAAACATTTTTTTTTTTTGAGGTCTTTTTGCAAACCACTGTGGGAGAAAGAGTAAGAATACAGTCTCTGTCTTTCAAGACTGTTTCTCAAACTAAGGACGTTTAGGGGTGTTCCAGGAATACTTAAAACCGCGGGTTTGTGGACACGGTACTTTCCTGAAGGACAGTTTATGCCGTTCAACACTAGACATTCTTCATTGGAAAAGTTTGAGAAATATTTTTAAGCCTCACAGTTAAATAGAAGGGTTAGAATACATACATGACTATAATAAAAGTGTGGAAAACGTTAAGAAATGTAAATAAAGTGATACTACTTCAGGGAAAAAATGTTATTCCTAGGTGCTGCTACTAGAGACAAATACAAACTTGGGATACCCAAGGGCCTTTTTAAATAAAAATAATTAAATCAGTGGTGTGTTTTTGTTTTTGGCTTGTAGACTGTAAAGTTTATTTCGGCTTTTTACTCAGGACTAATTTTATAAAGGAATCGAGTTTTGACGTTTCCTCATTGTTGTTCAGAGGCTCCTCTCCTGAGAAGTTGAGCACATTCCTTGTCCAAAACAGTATACTTCAGACTTGCCCCTCTGGCCATCTCCATTTTGCTCACTGGTAGGTCAGTAAAGCATTGGAGATAATGGCCTGGAGCTCAGGAGTGAGGACTAATGCCAGCAACCTTCTTGTTGCAGAATCCAGGGGATAGTTTTACTCCTTATCCTTGAATAATTTCTCTTTTTGAAATACTTTTCTGTCAGCTTCTGTTAGATTTTATTCTGGTTTTTCCACCACCTACTTGTCTGGCTTCTTTTTAAGATCCTTCCCCCCCATCCATCTTTAACTTCATACCCATATAGTTTCTATTTTTATGTGCTACAGATATCTCAAACTTAACATGTCAGAAAACTTCCTATGTTACAGTCCCCTGAAATCATTCTGTTCCTGTGATCCCAACCACCTGGAATACTCTTAAAAGCCTTCTAACTAGTCTTGAGTCTTGCTGCCCTTCAGTATGTTCTCTTTATGTTATCCCTAATCATCTTTATAAATGTCAGTGTGATTGTGTTACATCCTTCAGTGGCTTTCATTTGGGTTGAAGTTCAAATTCTTTAACATGAATTACAAGGACCTATATGATCTAGCTCTTGCCAGCCTCTCCAGCCTGCCAAACTGTGGCCCAGCACATTGAACTAATTTTACTTCTTGAGCGTGCCAAGTACTTTAGTCCTTGGAATATATGCTTTTCTTCTTATTGTTACTCCTCTGGCTAGGTGTCCTCTTAGGTTCTCCATAGCATTTTGTACATCTCCTATTGAATGTATCATCCTGTGACATAATTGCCTCCTTGTTCATCTGAATTCCCCTCCATCCCCCCTTTAATATTTTAAGCTCCATGAGGGCAGAGACTGTCTTGTTTGCTTTTTACCAAGGGCTAACATAAATCTTGTCCATAAGTAGATACTTTTGAATGAATGAACTATGTCTTAAAGTCTTTTTCTTCATAATATGGTTAATTATTAAGCCCTAGTAAGTCCTCTGTTGGAAGGTTTCTTATATCTATCCCTTTCTTTCAATTTTCACTGTCACTGCCCTGTGAAACACTCATGTTTGGGACCACTATCTCATGCTTGGACTGGCTTTAAGAATTTACTCATTGCCCTCTCTCCTTAAAGTCTGTCCTTCCATTCTATACTATAAACATCATCTAAACCATCATTCCAAACTTTCATCTCTTCAAAAGCTTTTAAGGAAATATGACCTAAAAATGTTGATGACAGTAATACCCTAATACTCAGCAAATCCCTCCTAGTTAGTTATACTCCAGAAAACTTAGTGTATTTCAGAAGACATGTATAAGCCATGTGGAAAAGGTTTTAGCAGCACTGTTTGTAATAGCAAAACACTGGAAACAACCCAAACGTCCACCAACAGAAAAAGACAAATAAGTGATATATTCATACAGTTGAACTACACTTGTATACAGTTAGGTTTTTCTCTTTTTTTTCCCCCCTCTGAACTTTGGTGTGTATAGTTCCCAAGACATATGTTTCCTTCTACTTGAGAGGAACATATTAGGTTTAATATGCCACCTACTGGATAAAGGTAGTATAGCTTTATGAATATCTGCTGAATATTCCATGCATGCTAATGAGTCCTACCTCCAATTCCCCATTTCATAAAATCACTTTTATATAGATTGTTTTAAGCATACTAAAAGTAGCCATATATATTCAGTCTGAATTTGTGTCTGGTTAATATTGTGTGTTGAAATAGAAAGTCTTTATGTGTAAATTTTAAGAAAGTAAATCATATATTCTTGGTCCAGAAACATTGTCATCATGTAGGATGTAAATATTTTATATTTTATAAACAACATGAATAATTAATTCCTTGGATGCCATTACTTCAATAATTCCTTATTTAATAGAAGATTTAGATGCCCTTATGTTATTGTATGAAGAAGGCATGTTATTTTGTGTATATTGAAAAACTATGATTCGACTTGTAGTATTTGTAAATATTTATCAAGTTTTATGTGTACATAAAACATTTTGTAATAGTTTTCAAAGGGTGCTTTTTTTTCCCTTAGAATCTTTTATACCATTGTTAATATATGAAAAATAGCATGCAGATTCTTAAAAACATTAGGACTCTATATATTTTTGTGCCTTTAAAATTAGTCTTTGAATTATGTTATGTAAAACAAATGTATTTTGTAGGTGCTGGGAAGACAACACTTCTAAACTATATTTTGACAGAACAACATAGCAAAAGAATAGCAGTCATTTTAAATGAATTTGGGGAAGGTAAGTAAAGTTCAATAAACTGCATGTTGCAAAAGTTTATAGGAGACTTTATTCCACAGTTTATTCATTTTTAAATTTGTTATTTAAAAATGAAAATGTAAGGTATTATAATGTGAACACAGTGTGGATAGCTTTGGAAAAATTAATTTCTATGAAGCATTATATGGATTGGGATACTGAAATTGGATAGTTTCTTTAAAATTTTATTTTACATAACTTTGGAATTCATACCGAAAATTAAATTAGATTTTTATTTGAAATAAATGACTCCAGAAGTAAAAATCTAAACACATGAAAGAAAGGTTTTTTTTTTCCAGGAACTAGAAAGGTACTTTTGTACTGACTATATTGTTTATTGCAACTCATGAAAAGTGTTTGAAAATGGTTCAGTTGTTATAAGTTCACCTTGTTCAATGTTAATTATCTGCAAAGCAGTTAAAATTGAAGATTTTAGATATAAGTTAGATGTATGGTCTCCCTTCTCAAGTAGCTTAAATTATCTGTGAAAATATATGTGCTTCTTAACTTTCGTCTTAAATATTAAACTGGTAAAAAAATCTGTGCAGCAGCATTGGATACAATACTTTGATTACTTTTATAGTAGTTTTCTTCACAGTATGAGTTATAATAAAAGCTCACTTTTAGCCAAAAACATAATTTTTGTTGGACTCTTTCTAAACATGTATGATTTTTTCACTTGCAAACAGGTAAAAGAGCTAGGTTTTATGAACAGGATGGGAAGCCTATTAAACTTCATTTCTGGTTTCAATTAACTAAAGAGAAAAGTGCTTTTAAGCAAAAATCCTAAGATTTCTAATAATAGTCTTTTTTCCCCTAGCTTCTTATTACCTAATCTATTGCACACGGATTACATTTATTATTATTTCTTACTAGTTTTCTTCATGTTTTTGGATCATTTTCAAAATTTTGTTCGTCATAGCATTCTTAATATTTTCCTTAATGTTTCATTAATGTATATAGCCTGAATTCTGTAGCAACCCCTTTAAAAGCTCTTTATCATTATCATCACCTAACTGAAATATGAACAAAAAAATATATAATGTTCTTTGTAAGC